CACTACAAACCTGCGTTATGCAGATGATACAACCTTGCTTGCTGAAAGTGAAGAGGACTTGAAGCCCTTACTAATGAAGATCAAAGACCACAGCCTCCAGTATGGATTACACCTCAACACAAAGAAAACAAAAATCCTCACAACTGGACCAATAAGCAACATCATGATAAATGGAGAGAAGACTGAAGTTGTCAAGGATTTCATTTTACTTCAGTCAACACCCATGGAAGCAGCAGTAAAGTAGCTTGGTAAAGTAGAGAGTCAGCAAGAAAGAGGAAGACCCTCAATGAAATGGATTGATATGGTGGCTGCAACAATGGGCTCAAGCATAACGCTTGTGAGGATGGCGCAGGACCGGGCAGTGTTCTGCTGTACATAGGGTCACTGTGAGTTGGAACTGACTCGACAGCACCTAACAACAACAACAACCAAATAAAACCCCATTGCCATCATGTCGATTCCGACTCATAGTGACCCTATAGAGCAGAGTAGAACTGCCCCATAGGGTTTCCAAGGCTGTAATCTTTACAGAAGCAGACTGCTGCATCTTTCTCCTGCGGAGTCCCTAGTGGGTTCAAACTGCCGATCTTTGGTTAGCAGCCGAGAACTTTAACCACTACTATGGTGAATGCTAAATTTGGAGAAGAATCAAAAGAACCCATTGCTGATGAAGAAGAAGAAGATGGTGATGATAATGTTGAAGGTATTGCTGAATTTAGATTTGTGACTAGTGATAAATCAGCATTGGAAACGATGCTCACTGCAGTGGGTGAATGCCAGGCTTTGCACCCAAATCCTGAGGATGAAGACTCAGATGATTATGGTGGAGAAGCGTATGATGTGGCTCCATGAAGGCTCCCATACCAGTGTCCGAACACCCCAAAGATTGTGAGTCTCCCTTGAATTGAACCAAATCCTTCTTGCTGCAGTTAGTGGGGAATACACCTCATCGTAGGGTGGGCAACAAAATTGGCCTCCAGGTTACAAGGACCCATTTAGAGGCGGGAGTTTATGCTAAGGATTCAGTCTCCTCTGTCCTCTGGTCAGTAATTAACCAGGCCTCATCTGGGTGGCAATCAGCATGCTAGGTCCAGTAGCTGGGAGCAAGCTGTGTGTACCACTCCTCTGGGGATCACCTCCGACTGTTTGCTCTGGAAAGTGGGTGGCAAGCCTGGACAGCCCATCTCCAGGTAACTGGCCTGAAGCGGGTGCTGCTCTGGAGGGAGGACCCAGGCCTCCCATGGCTGACCAGTGGGCAGTGGGCACTCAGCTCATTCACCAGTGGCCAAGGCCCTTCCCAACAAGAAGGTCCTGGCTGAGGCCACGGAGAGCAGAGGTGGTCCCTGGCTGGGGAGGCCCTCTGCAAAAATCATCCATGAAGAATCATCCATGAGGAATATTGCCTGCCTTTGTCATTTAGAATAACCTGCTCCCAATTTTGTCATGGACATATGCTTTCCAGAGATATCACAATACTCATACACCAGTTGCCATCAAGTCAATTCCAACTCATGGTGACCCCATGTGTTTCAGAGTAGAACTGTACTCCATAGGGCTTTCATGGCTGTGACCTTCGGAGGCAGGTTGCCAGGCCTTTCTTCCGAGGCACTCCTAAGTGGGTTCAAACTGAAAAGCTTTGTGTTAGTAGCCAAGCACTTAACCATTTATACTACCCAGGGACTCCTCACAATAGGCATAAACTCTTTTAAAAAGTCTTTATAAATGAATAATAAAATAAATAATATCCTTTATTATAAACAACACAGTTTTGTTATCAATTTATTATTAATTTGATTCTGATTCATTCTTTCAGTTGGTCTAAGAGTCTTTTTTTTTTTGGATTTTTTTTTTATTGTACTTCAGGTGAAGGCTTACAGAACAAATAGTTTCTCATGAAACAGTAGTATACATGTTGTTTTATGACATTGGTTAGCAACCCCACGACATGTCAACCCTCTCCCTTCTCGACCTTGGAGGACCTTTCTTCTTTTTTTTGGTGAAAATATACATAACCAAAGATATACCATTTCAAAAATTTCTACATGCACAGTTCAGTGACATTGACTACGCTCTTCCAATTGTGCTGCTATTCTCACTTTAGATGAAGGTTTACAGAAC